CCACAATCAGGACATTCAAAGGGTTTCTCTCCTGTGTGAGTCCTCTGATGTGACAACAGGCTGGAATTCCAACTGAAACTTTTATCACAATAAGGACATTCAAAGGGCTTCTCTCCTGGGAAAGTCTTCTGGTGTGTCACCAGGCTGGAATTCTGACTGAAACTTTTCCAGCAATCAGGATATTCAAACGGTTTCTCCTTGGTGTGAGTCCACGTTGCCATCCTCGCTAAAGCATTTACCGCATTGGGAGCACTTGTAGGGTTTCTCTCCTGTATGGATCCTTCCAAAAACCACACCAGAGTTGTTCTGATCAAAGGTTTTACCACATTCAAAGTATATGTAAGACTTTTCTCCAGTCTGGATCCTCTCATGCATAGTCAACTGTGATTTGCAAGTTGTATCTTTCCCACAACTGGCACATCTATGGAGCTTTTCCACCACTAAAATTCTTGAGGAGGTCAAAAATATGGATGATCCCTTGTTAGTTGTGCTTTGATTTACTTGTGATTTTCTTCCTTCCAGAGTGAAGCCTGCAACACTGTCTGCTCTACATGGCTTTCCAATCGACCTTTTCCTCCACACTGACTTTTTCACTTCTCTCTTTTGCTGAATGGAAAAATAATCTCCATTGACTTTTTATGTAACATATTCTTGAATTTCACATATTACTTTTCCCATCTAGAAATCTCTTCTTGATTTTCTCTCATTTCTCTCTCACCTGCTGAGGAAGGTGAAGAATTGTGTGGCGCTTTGAAGGAAATGGAAAATATTTCGATTTCTGGACTGACTTGCTGTGCTATTCAATGTTGCTTGTCATCCTCAGTTGTCCAGTGTCCTCTTATCGCCATCCTCTTTGTCTATAAGAATGAAATAAAAGGGTATAAAATAAATAAATAAAATGGTTGCAATAGATGAGAAAAAAAGAACATTACATTTACATTACAATGAAAAATTATGAAATTCAGTTGTTGATTGGATCAATCACAAATTCTTAGCAGTGCAGATGATTGTTTTCAAATACAGTCAAGTGAAAAAGAAAGTATACTCTCTTTCATTTCTATGGTTTTAGGATGTGAAAACCAGAGGAGGATTTGGGTTATCTAATTGGGAAATAGATTAGCAGGCCACAGTATTAACCTGGATGAAAGAATGGATAACACTGAGAAATAGAAGACTGTTAATGCTAGAGAGACATGCTTTACAACTGGGCTGGCATGCATTTCTATAGTATGGGAGAAGGAAAATACATGGATATTTTCAAAGACATATGCTCAGGAATGCATGGGAAAAAACTAGAGAACAACATTACATGAAGATTCCGGTCTGGTTTTCCACATTGGAAGCACTCATACACCCAAATGTTTGCAAAATGGGAACTATTGCTAGATATAAAGATATCTGAAATGAAAAGGGTGAGCTCAAAACTAAACAAGAATTGAATGAACAAGGGTTGCAAATGCATTGGTATTCATATATGCAAATACAATCAAGATATGAAAAATATATTAAAGCTAAAGGGATTCATAAGGAGTTGACAGAATTGGACAAAATACTAACAGAAATGGAAGATAAGTTGATTAAAATATTATATTGCTATTTACTAGGTGTTAAACTAGAAGAAGAACAAGTTAAAAAACAATGGTAGCATGGGCAAAAATGTTTGGATGCTATAAATTTGTATAAGATGTTTTATAGATGGCAATTTGCACCAGCAAAATTAGCTAAGATGTTCAAAGATAAATTAAATGCTGGAAGTGTGACCAGACATCTGGAACATATTACCATATGTGGTGGTCGTGTATAGAAGCTAAAAGATACTGGACAAAACTACGCTCATGGTTGGAAAAAATGATAAAACAACACAAAGATATGAAACCTGAAATATACTATTTCAGACAAGTGGCTGTCTCATCTCTTCTGAAAAGCCTCAAATGGGGAGACTGGTTGGTGGCGTGGTGGAAACAGTTGGAAAATAGTGGAGCTCCATCAAGCTCTGTGAAAACAGCTGGTATCTGCCAGGAGACCCGAAAGCACAGGTCTCCAAACTTGGCAACTTGAAGGTTGTGGACTTCAACTCCCAGAACTCTCCAGCCAGCTATGGGATTTAAACTCTATAAGTCTTAAAGTTGCCAAGTTTGTGGACCCCTGCCCTACATGGTCAAGGCCGCCCTTGAGGTGTGGTGAAGGAAGGAGAGGTGCTTCAATTATCACGACGAAACCACAATTTCCTCGTTAGCTCCAAAGAAAGCTCTCCCGAAAAGCAGCAGGGATGATGGCCATTTTGGCAAGTAGCAAGCTGTGACAACTGGGACAATAAGAATTGTGCTGGAGCGGTTCGTGGACAGAGCATTGAAACTGGGTGAGATACCTTCCAACTTTTATTCTAAAGATAAAATAATTTCAAAAAATAATCTCCAAACATTAAGAAAGCAGCTATTGGATACATGGAGAAGGATTAAAGAGTCAGATGCGAGGGATTCAAACTGCTGAATTGCTGACTTTTGTGATCTACAAGATCAGCATCTTAACCACTGAGCCACCGCGTCCCTTATTATTG